TTTTAAGTTTGACTTTTCAAGTTTGACTTTTGAGTTTGACTTTTTAAATTTGACTTTTGAGTTTTTAGTCAAAGGGAATATTTTTTAAAACAATGAGTTCTTCAAACGTTCCAGTCAATAAAGTTTCATGTTCTCAATCTTGTGAAACTACGATTAAATTTCTTCGGGAAGAAATTGATTTATTAAAAAGAGAAGTTGAGGACCTGAGATATGAAGGATATCAACTCAGGAAATGACAGAAACCCCTTAAGGCCCAGTTAGAGACAAAAATAAAAGATTTTAAAAGAATTCAGACAGAATACAGTGAAAAATGTGAGCTTTATGATTATGTTAAGAGACAAAATGATGAGTTAATTATCGAGCTTGATACATTGAAAAGACAATTTGAAACTGCAAATTTTGATTTTAGAAAATTTGATGGATCAAGCGAGGTAGTTGCCAACATGATTGATCACTGCATGCAGTTCAAACGAAACCAACAAAAGGGCTTAGGATATGATGGTGTACCTCCTCCTTATAATCATACATATCAATATCAACCCCTATCCAAGGATGAGATTGCCAACGAACCATTTATGGTTTATGGAAAGCCGTCTGGTTTCGTTTCAGGCGGATTTATTAATGTTGAAAGTACTAACATTTCTACTTCCCCTGCAGATCAATCCTCAGATCAGTCAAAGCACAAAGTTGAAGGATCTGTTTCTGATAACAAAACTGAGCTTGAACCTGATGTTTCTGTTTCCAATGAACAACCTTCTGTTTCTGATGTTAAAGTTGATGATACATCTTGTGATGCCTTTGATGCTTTTGCATCGGATCATGTTGAGTTAATTTTTTTTGACATATTTGATTATTTGTTTGAAAATACTAATGTTCCTGTTTCTAGCACATCTACTTCATATGCAGGTAAAGTAGCAGAGGATGAGAACAAGGAGAACACCATTGAACAAACCAACATCTCCTTGAACTCTGAATCTGTTGCTTCGAACTCAGTTGCTTCTGATCAACCTGTTGTTGAGAAGTACAGGCCACCAAATCAAGTTAAACAGAATGCATGTTGCAACTGTGCGTGTGGGAAAAGCAAGAAACAAGGTAAGGATACACCACCAGGGGCAGGAAGAAACAAATTCACAGTGAATAAAAAGACATGTTTTCACTGTGGAACACCTGGACACATTGCCAGAAATTGTCCTAATCGCGCATATGTTCCCTACTATGCACAAGGTTGGCAGAACGCGTAAAGAGGGAGATACTTCAAAAGAAACCCCTCAAGGTCACGTTCAGAAAATGATGACTGGAATGCGCAGAAGAGCAAGAATCAAACTCCAAAGGCCAAGAATCAAACCGACAAGGCCAAGAATCCGAATCCCAAGGGCAAGAAGGGAATGTCGGCCAAGAAGCCAAATCCAAGAGATGCTCCCATGAAGCCAAAATCAAAGTCATCTCAACGGCCGACATCAAGATCAAAAGCAAGTACTGAGCCACCCATCAGATCGAAAAAGAAATGGGTTAAACCCAACTTCAAATGGGTTCCAAAGGCTCACTCTCCCAAATCAACTAATGACTCTAATATTTCTTCATCTTCTGTTTGTGATAAACAGGATATGTCATGGGAGAGAGTACCGTGCAAGGATGACAAAGGTCGACCCAGTTTCAAAATGGACTGGGTTCCAAAGACCAACTAATCCCGCTCTGTGTCGGAGCAGCTATGGAGGCATATCATCAGACTTCGGTTTGTTGGTAGTGGCTGTTCCATGCACATGATAGGAGGCATCTCTCAACTGTACAACACTCAAAACATTGTTTGAGAGTATGTGTCCTTTGCGGGAAGGGAAGAAAGGAAGAGATCACTCACGGGGTTAGTGCTTAATGACATGAAGAATTTTCGGATCTGTTCTGAGATTACGCGTGCTGTTCTCAGACCTTCTGGATGCAAATTCAATTGGTGACTTACGGTTTGAGTTTTCCTCTCTATACTCCTGAGTTTTTCTTAAGCTGATTCGCTTTAAAGACTAATTTTTGTTTTAGGATAGTTTAAATTTGTGCATTTACTTTCGTTTCTCTCCTATGCACAAATTTAGGGGGAGAAATAAAAACAAAACAAAAATTAGAAAATTTTAAAAAAATCCAAAAACATTAGAAAATAAAAAAATAAAAAAAAAATATGTTGGTTATGGAATGTGCTTGAGGGAGATATTTTGGGAAGTGATATTATCAAGTGATAACAGACAATCTGAGTATGCGTAACGTACCCAAAATTGAATTGTCTATGCTCTGGGTTTGATGCGTTGGTAGGCACGAAAGATTCTAAATGGACATGACTAGGCAGAGTTGAACTTAAGGAATTCATATACTTGACAAATATTGACCTAGTTAGATCCGTTTAGCCTGACAACACGATGCTTGGATAGGTTGAGCAGGGAGATATATATGGGAATCTACTGGTCACATTAAAGAACCTGTACTTGGAACCGTGGATTAACTTTTCCTCGATGTGCGGATTCTGTCCTTAATTTCGGTATTGATGGGGCGACTGGTGAATTCCGATAAATTAGGTCTGTAGAATGTTATATTCTTTCTTTCTATCTGTTAGTCATATGTTGCCTCCTCTGCATGATCGAAAGATCTGACCTGGAATGTAGCATATGCAACTCTATTTCTCTGCATCCTCTATCTATGCAATTCTTTCTATCTGTTAGCCATATACTGTCTCCTTTGCGTGACTCACAATCCGACCTGGTACACAGTATATGCACCATTCTACTTCTCAATCCCTCTAAAACTTCAGTTAGTCATATGTTTCACCCTCTGCGTGATTGGAAGAGATCAGACCTGGGTGTATAGCATATGCATTCTAAATCTATCCTCTCTCTTAATAATTGTCTGCTCACCCGATGTAAGGAGTATTCTTGAAGTCCTTGATTACTGGAGTATATTAGGAAGCGGGAACCATGTTCTAGTACAATTAAAAATTGAACACTTACAGATTGTCTATAGATCTCGCTGCTCAATTTAGGTGGACAACAATATCCCTGGTCGTCGTCAGCTGAATGGTCCTTAAGAAATATTATCTAGGAACTTAGGATCACTTTGTCTTATAATTAATAGTATGTCCTAATTTTGTCACAATTTTTCGTGTTTAAGTGGACCACAATACCGGCGATCGACCAGACAAAGACGTGAAGATAAAAGGTACTGATAAACGGATAAAGGCTGTCTAAAAACTTTGATCCCAAATCACTCTTAAAGTTAGATATCATTTTTATTTTTGTTAAATTTGTTCATATTTTTCTTCTAATTTAAATATCAGGGGAGAATTAAAAATTTTAAAAACCAAACAAAAATCAGAAAATTAAAAAAAAAAAAATCCAAAAATAGTGTTATTTCTGTTTTATTTCTTTTTCAGAAAATATGAAAAATCCAAAAAAAATTGTGTGCTAAGTTTTCTTTTAGTTTTTTTTTGTCTTGAAAAGTGAATTCAGGTGAAGATGAAACTCATGGAGTTTGTGTCGAAGATTTATGAGCCAAGGCGTCATCCGTGATTATCGAAGAATTTTCATTCGAAGGAGCAAGAAATGAAGATTATTCTTTCAACATTCAATCCTTCAACCCCAGAAGAAAGGTCAAGCTGACTTGAAGATTATGTGACAGATTGCATTGAAGCCTCCTCAATCAGTCTGCTGCTATCTTGATCCTGCTGAAGTGATCCAGAAGATTTGTTCTCTCTGACGTTCTCTCTGAAGATTCTCAAGCTGAAAGCGCTATCTTTCAAGAATCAGTACATCAAGCCTCCTCACCCGACGAGCGTTCAACGCCAAATTCTGAAGAAAAGCTCAAGTGCTCAAGATGAAGTCATTCATTGAAGAATCATCAAGTTCATCTTGAGGTTGTGAAGAATTTGAAGATAAATGCTGAAGCCAAAGCTCCCAATGAAAATTAACAAGAAAAGCCAGCTACTTTTTAGGGGGAGCTTGTTGGGTCATTTAAGAAAAGAAAAGAAAGCTATAAACTAAGGGGGAGATTGTTGGGTCAAAAATATGGTTTATACTTTGCTTTTCTAGGAAAATCTGATGTGCTGGTGGTCGACAAAAGCTGAGTCCAAGCTAGCACCAAACCAAGGGGGAGATTGAAGGGTCCAGTTAATGGTTTGGTCTAGGCTTTCATTGTATTTTGTTCAGTAGGAGTCTGTAATACAGTTTGTGAGTTGTTTATGTGTCTTTGGTCAGAAAGTGTGTTTGCGACCGTAAACAGAGTTTACGGCCGTAAACACGTTTACAGCCGTAAACCCAGTTTACGGTCGTAAACCCTGTTTGCGGTCCTGTCTAGTATAAATAGCAGATGTGTAGGTCATTGTGCAGTAGTTGATGCCATTGCGTTTACAGAGTGTTCCATCGAGTTGTACCTGACGTTTTTCTGAATATAAACGTGTGCAAGCTCGATTTCTTTTCTTCTTATTCTTCTATCTGTGATTATTTGTTGTTTGATCATTGGTAAAGATCCTTTTCAGGACCTTACATTTGGAGCATCAAAGGGGGATGGTTTTAGCCTCCTATATATAGGCTAGGGTTTTGGGTAGATAGTTACTTGGTCAATAAATAATTATTGTTAAGCATTTGAATTTCAAATCATACACTTTAAACCCCTTGGCGTTTACAAGTTTCTAATTAATTTATTAATGAATTATAAATTAACAAACTAAATCCTCATCATCTCTTGGTTGTCGATAATAATATCACCAACTCGTTGTCAATATGGACATACTTCCCACAATAACAATATTCAAATATCAGTGATATATATCTTAGTATATATCTTCGCAATTCTCAGGACTACTATTTGGGACTGAGATTCCTAACCGTTATTATTTCTAGGTCTGATATTTGAGATCTCACCGGTATTGATGACACATGGCGGATGACAAAGATAGCTAGAGGAAAGCAAAAATCATGAGTATCATGGCAACTTTGCAATTACATTTTAGTCTTTTCTTCTATCACATAAACCAAATCACCAAAATATCGAATATATAAAGTAATCAAAACAACATGCCGACTTACATCATATTCCTTACATGTGTGTTAACTAAAATAAAAAACAATTCATATTGTTTTCACTTGTCTTTCGCAATTAAAGACTAAAAAAAAGAATACAGAAATCAAAACATAAATGGGTACCAAAGTCTACAAGGAGCAAACAATCTTCTAGAAAATTAGGATATAACTCGTGGAGTTTCAAGTGATTGATTTAGAGTAGTTCGGTTACATCCAGCCTCTCTTTCTCAAGCAATTTCACAGTGAAGGATAAGACCTTGAAGATTCTCCTTTACCCTATGAATAAATGGAAAGTAAGAAATTTTAAAAAGTTACATAAGTATACATTGATATGATGATAACATATCTGGTTGTATATGCCTTTTTATTCTGTGATCATAGAAAGGTTTGGGCGTGAAAAAGTATACCACACGTGTGCTCCCAATTATGCCAGGATTCCTTTGAGAAAAAGCTCTAAACCAGGACATTTCCTTTTGTCCTGAACACAAGTTGTATTGAAAGCATAAATATATTTATGTGATCCACCATATCAAAATACATAGTCCACTGACATAACAAATCAACCCATTTAGACTGATCAATACTTTGTTCGATTCATTTAAAATTAAAAGTCAAACTTTAATTTTTTGTATTTTATAAAAATAAAATCTTATATGACAATAAAATCAATAATAAATGAGTGGATATGGGACATATTATTCATTTGTTTAAAAGATTTAAGTTATGATCCATCTATTAAGACAAATGAGTCATTATCCATCTATTTAAAGATATTGGGTCATAGATGAGATTATTATACATAAAACAGTATTATGATAATATAATTAACAAAAATGACATCTACCATTAAAGTCGTGGCTGTCTGTAACAATTTTATGATGATATGGACACGAGATAATTCCACACTGAAAATATTTAACAAAAATCATATATACCTTGATATCTGGGGCCATCTGGAATTAATTTACCATGATACGGAAACAACATAATGGCAGACTCAAAAAACCGCATGTTGTTTAGGATGTATTGTCCTGTAGTTGTTTGAAAAGGTGAGAGATCTCCACCAATTATGTGATTCCATGACTTGTAATAACCCAATGCATCTTCTTCTTCTTCTTCATCCTTGTTCTTTACTTCATCATACACAAGACTCACCCCACATTCCTTTACAAGTTCATTATACGGTGATGTAACAGTAATAGTAACATGGTCACCAGCCTCCATTTCATTCATCCCAAACATCCAATGACTTAACACCACCCAACACTTTCCATCTTCAATAACTCTGTCCACATGACGTTCATATATCCACGTGCAGTTCTTTGTTATATTACTAATTGTCGTCATTGGTGTACCAGGGAACTGATCATGTGGAAATAATAACCACTCATCGGGAGGTTTCAATGTGTGCAGAGAGCAGAAGTTGAGTCCAGTAAGGTTGTTTGGAGATGATGATGATGATGATGATGATGATGATGGGATGGTAAATGATATTGATGGCCCCAAGCTTCTAAACTTAAACCAACTCGGCATCTCCTCCACTTCATACTTTGTGCTGAATATTCCAAATTCATAAAACATAGACTACAAAATACAACCACCTTCATTAAATACAGATATAACAATTATATTATACATATTCACATAAAGATGGACAGTTAACCGAAAGAAACCTGGATTTTAGATTCCCAAGGATTAGGTCCCACGCACCCTTTGTTAAGGAAGTCTACATTAGTCCAACCCAAACTACGTAATACCTTTTCCTTAACACCTACCATTGCTTGGATTTTGATCATTCCTTCAATTTCACAGGACCCAGGTGTAAAATCTATCCACCAGTTTGATGATAACTCTAGTGGGGACATTTCTGGATCAAATACAACTTTCTTTACAAAACTCCCATGACGAGAAAAGAGCAACAACCTGCTTAGTGTACGTGGAGGATGCTCAACTGACTTCAATTTTTTGCAATTCGCCATACTAAGTATCTCAAGCCTAGGAAGGGTTCTCATACAACTAGGCATGAAATTTATAGGATTGTAATCCAAATATAATTCCTTTAACATGGTTAGGCAACTAAAGTCCATGGGAAAGCATTCAGAGGACAAATTATTATTTACTAATGACAACCTTACTAAAGACCTCGGTAAAGAAACTGTAAACAACCTCAAATCACTTGGTATAGCACCCATAAAGGTGGAGGAAGAGGTTCTTATGTTTATGACCATATCCCTATCCTCGATTTGAGAATCGCTGAGCTTACAACCATCGAGTAACAGTGTTTTGACATTCTTCAACATGCCTATGTTTCTAGGAAGTTTTTCAAGCTTCTTGCAATAGCTCATATCAATGAAGACAAGTTCAATACATTGTTCAATTGATTCACCAACCTCAACCAAACCAATGCAATTTCTAACTATTAACCTCTCAAGTGCAGGGAGTTGGTCAAAGTCACCAAGACTGCGAAGTTGTTTACAAAAACTTAAATTAAGAATTTTCAATGATCTCATCAGCTTTTTGTCTTTTAAGTACGTTCCATCCAACTGCAAAAAATTGAAATAAGTTTGAACAGTTTTGAATTTCATCAACTCAACATTGATGAATAATGAATGAAGATAAGTTACCTTTTGCCTCTTCTCAAGTTGTTGTGTATTACTATAACAACCAACAAATGATTCAATATAGCTATATGACATGTCAAGAGCAACCAAATTCATCATCGGTAAGTTTAAAGGTATAGACTTTAAACGGAACCCATGCATACACAAGCCTCTTAATTCATCCGGAAAGTTCTCATAAGACCCTTTCATGTGCACATAATTGATTTGTAGTAGCATTAGACTATCCATGTTACTCAATGCATCTGTTTTTAGCTCAAATGATGCTCCCAACTTCTCTTTCTCAAGCATGCGCATGTCAAGGGAAAGGCCTAGAACATTTCTCTTACCCTAAGAAGAAATGGCCAAAATTAAAAATGAGATAATACAAAGTAATTTAAATATGCACACTACCAACAAGTATACATAAACTCTCACCTTTTTTTGTTTCAACACTCTGAATGACTCCTTATGACACCATATTCGACTTCGCTTCCATGGCTTGTCAATTGATTCTTGATGTACTTCGAATCTTCCCATCTCTTGAACCAATTGATGCATCTTCAATTCATTATTCGATCCTATACTAAGAAGATATCTCTCAATGAGATTCGTGATTCCAGATCTTGTGATTATATTACATGCCTTTAATATTGTTTCACTAACATCTCTATCTATTCCGACAAAAAAACAAGCAATATGCTTAAACAACTCCTTATCATTGTTGGATGGCAAAGAATCAAAGCTCATTCTCAAGACATTATTTATATTGGAACTTGTTTCTTTATCTAGCCCTTCCATGAACCCTTCCCAGTAAGCTACATCTCGATTATATAGAGACTTGCCCAAAACTACAAGAGCCAATGAATTTCCTTGACAATATTTCACAAGCTTATATGACACCTGTTCATAACCTTCCTTGGGATAGTTGCACATGAAAGCATGAAAACTCAAAAGTTGTAGTGATTGGATCTCATCTAAGCCAAGAAGCAAATGCCTTTCATGCTTGGGTTTATTGTTTGTTTTGAATAGTGCACAACTCTCGGTCAACCATCTGTTCCTTGTTGTTATTATAATTTTGCTTCCAGGATGAAAACCTTTGCTTCCAAGTAATGCGTCCAACTGATCAAGAGTAGTGATATCATCAAGGACTAGAAAGACCCTTTTACGGGCTAGTGCATTCTCTATCTTTGTGGTGTATGTAGCCACATCATGAAATCTAATTGAACTTGTTTTTGAAATGTCGTTGCAAAGTTGTTCTTGTAAATCAAGCAACCCATTAAACTTTCCATCACATTTCCTTGTGATATCTTCAATAAAGCTACTTATGTGGAATTCATGAGAATATAACCCGTAGACATGTTTGGCTAAAGATGTCTTCCCGATCCCACCCATACCCAGTGTAGTTAGTATGTCTGCAGTATGTGAGGACCCATCTTTCAACCATGAAGTAACAAAGTGAATATGATATTCCATCCCAATAAGTAATGGTTGAGCAATCCTTAAGGGTACATGTAATCTACGGTGTATGTCCTTCACGATTTCTTCAATGAACTTTGTCTCTAGCCTGAAATTTAACAAACCAGGTTTGGAGATTTTAATTTATCCAAAGATCAAATGAAATATATACCATACTATTCTTATTAATTAAAGTCATCACATCAAAACCACATCGTATTTACACTTCTAACCATATAAGCATGTAATGTTTAAGGTCATAATATTTATGTATGATACAACTTAAGCTACCATTTTTTACAATATTTCACATATTGGCCACCTAACTTCACTATGTTTCTACAAGACCATCGAACTTAACTATCAATGTGGCTAAAAAAACGCCAGGTTATCCTCTACTACTTATAGGTAAAAGAAGTTACTGTTATTTGCTATATAAAACTGCAAATATAGTCCCTCTGTTTTGTTGTTTTCTTTAGACCGGGTCCAAATGGTTTCATTTTTGCAATAAACGTCCTTTTGCTAGCCTTGTGTTGTGGTTTTGGTCCCTCAATTTGATACAATGAGTGTTAGTCCGTCAAATCCTTGTGAAATGACTACTTTGACCTTTCATATTAAATTTTATTTATTTAATAATTATTATTATATGCCTTAATCAAACAAAACTGAAGGGCTTATGGAAATATGGGTAAGAAAGTGATTACCTTCCATTTACGTCCTTTCCTTTTAAATTAGAAACTTCTATAAGTGCTTTATTCCATTGGACTATCTTTTGAGCCCATCGACTTCTCTTATATTCAATTGTCTCTTCCTCCATTGTCTGTTTATGCTTAGCCATTGCATCTCCGAAGCTGCTTTGTTGCTTCCTGACATGGGTGGGCTCCACCTGATAAAAGATAGGGATGACAATATGGTTGGATGTGATACGCTGCTCAAGGATCAGCACCAATTCATCTAGGCACCATGTTGAAGAAGCGTAATTCTTAGACAACACGATAATAGAAGCTCGAGATGCCTTAATTGCACTCTCCAGTTCCGGTTTAAGATCTTCTCCTGTTTCAATCTCTTCCTCATCATCCAAGAAGGTATTGATGTCGGCATCAATTAGAGCCTTATGAAGGTGATTAGTGAAACTATGACGAGTGTCAAGACCTCTGAAACTTAAAAATACATCATATCTATAAGCATCAGTTAATGAACTATGACCATGAGTTGATGGACTATAACCACTAGTTGATGAAGAAGATGAAGATCCTTCTGAGAGGAGTTCAGAGAGAACAACCATTATGAGTTTTGGGTTGATGAAGAACAAGATGAAGATCCCAGGATGTTGTGTATCTCGGTAAGCTCTGAAACTCTTCAGTGATTCAATGTCAGGATCTGGTACATAATGCCTGTATATAAAATCCAAATTACTAATATGTAAAATATACACCTCAATAATAACAATACCATTTAATTCTTCAAAATAAAACTTTAAGTGACTAAAGTACAATACATATGCACCTCCGAGTTTCGAGTTGGTTTTGGAGCTATATATTGTATAATGTGTATATGTGTGTTTAAAGATATTGATTTTTGTGTTCAAAGGCTATTCTATAGCTTAATTAGTGCTAAACTCGGTTGCTTTGTAAGCAGAGGATGTACATGAAATACTATTACCTACTTAACTAAATTGATTAACCTGTTTTTCTGGCTAAGTTTAGGTGCATGAAAATAACAAACCAATTTATGCATTTAAACTACAAAACCTCTGTTTTCATTTGATTAACCCATATAAACAGGATAAACATCCCTGTTGTTCTCCAAGTAAAATCCATTTGAATTTCAGTATAGTAATCCTAAAACATGCAAATCAACAGAAAATACTATTCTCAAAATAATTAAATGATCCACTATTACCTTCTTTGAAGGAAATTGTAAAAAAAAAAAAACTCTATACTCGATGAAACTTCAAAGGTAAATGCACTCTATAGTCTATACACAAGCATATAGATATCATTAAGTTTTGACTTCAGTGGTAAGCAAAACACTAATTATGACAGTCGAAAGTTGAAGCTTGTTCATTATAAGTGTCTAGCTTACCATTAAGGAGCAGATAACATCATTCAAAAAGAATCAAAACTAAAAATCGAGTTATGAATTAGAAAATATAAAGGAATTGAGGAAGCGATATTAAAGTGTCGAAGAGTTTCCCAACGTGCACCAAGTTTTGTTCATCATTCTGGACTTTACGCTAGAAGGACTGAATCACATGTTAATGAAATAAACAGGCGATTATGATTAATAAGATGAAAGTCTCTAACTACATGTGAAACTAACTTGTAAGAATGCGCACTCTTAATTACCTGCCTACAGGACGATAAGGAGATCTGAAGCAGCGATGATAGAGGATGAACCAACAGTGACGAGGCTGAGAAGGACGATGATTGAAAACCACAGACCGAACAGCATTAAGTCTGCAGGGAAACAACGAATCAACAACGAAGGAAGGAAGACGACAAGAGAGGCCTAGGTGTTGCTTCTTTTTCTTTTTTTCCTTTTCACTAAATTATAAATATATCTAATAGGACAACGCAAATTCCAGGAAAGTAATGCTACAAAAATCCAAAAGTATAGACTATACACCCCAATTTCCAATTTACCATAATATATATTTTTTTATTGATTTGCGATTAGATTTTAAAAAATATTTTAAATTTTAAATGTTTAGAAAGTATCAATCACATCATTCCCTAGGTGGTTGTCCTTGAGTGGACATGCACATGTGGTGTTCTTAGCTGCCTTAGCATGTTTAATGGTTGATGTAGCACTGCATACGTGAAGTTTCCAACGTTTCTATTAAAAAAGAGAACAAAACAATGGAGTTTTCAACATTTCGATTAAAAAAAAAGGAATAAACGACGGAGTCATCAACAGGTTTCAAAAATGCAACCTTCCTTTAAAATGCCAATTTCCTAACCGGTGCAACAACTACTCAATTTGTAAATAAGTCCGCAAAACACAAATAAATCAGGTATAGGAAAACATATTTTTCCATAAAAAATGAATTTTATAAAGAAAAAAAGAATTATATTATTATACCGACAAAAGGAGTATTAAAATTGTATTCTCCCCCATTTTTCTCTTCTCTTGGCTAGGACCCATTTTTGGAAATATAAAATATGGAGTAACAATGTAACACTATTTATTTATTCAAAAACGGGGATCAGGTTTCGGTTGTCAGTTTTACTCATTTTTTATTTTTCCGAAGTTGCTAGTTTATTTTTATCTAATATATATAATTTAAATGTAATATTTAATATTTATAATCTCATGTTATATATTATATAAATTATATTAATTAATTATAAATATAAAGTTTACTTTTTATGTATCGAATTCATATAAAAAATTAAATATATATTAAAAATATGAAATGCGGTAACATATTTTATAAAAGTTTATAGTAAAATATATCTTACAAATACGATAACATATGGTATTAAACATGCAGTTAACATATATATTACAATAATAATCTAATGAAAACCGATGGATCATCTTGTTCTTGGCAAAAGGAAGTATTAAATGACATAATGACTATATGTATTATTTTACATAACATGATAATCGATGATGAAAATGATGACGTATCAATTGAATTTGCAAGAGAACTGTCACCGATAAAGGTCGAAATAAAGATTAATGAAAACATTTAATTCCAACAATTTCTTACTAGATATACAATTATTCAAGATAAAGAAGTTCACTTGGCCCCTTCTTTCCTTGTTTTTGTTTTGTTTTTTTTTTTTTTATAAAAAAAATTGGAATGATGTTATTATGTTACTATTGGGAGATTAAAATGTCATAAAATGCATTTGAGTCTAATACAATAAACTTCGGCTAGATGATATCCAAAAGTAAATGCAAAATGGAACAGATAAATGAAGGGAACAAATATTTATGGGAGGGGTTATTTGTCTTACTAGTCTTCGACACAACAAAGGGGCGTGAAAAGGTTAAGATAGATAAGGGTTTGATTGGAGCCGGCAAAAATCGACCAAATCTGCCAACTCAACCCGAATCCAATCCAAAATTAGCAGGTTGGGTTGAGATTTTAGCCCATTTAAGTAAAATTAGTCAATCCGCCTAATTCTTTTAATTAAATAGGTTCGATTGGGTAAAATTTGTCAACCTGTTTTAAAACCCGTCGACCCATTTAAGTTTAATATATATTTAATTTTATAATTATTTGAATATTATCATGTATTAATCAAAATATTGATTTATAAATTATAATTTTGTATTACTACGTATTATTTATGTTTTAAAAATTCAATCTTAATTCTCATCATTTTTCTTAGCACCAAAAGTATTAGTCACTCTCCAAAATCACATTAAAATTAATCATTTTTAATGTTATTTGAACAATTTATTTGTATTCGTGAATTGAGATTGTGTTTTTGTCATACTTTGAAATTTTATTTATGTTTGAAACTAATTTAAATGGTAAAATGGTTAGTTAATTTATTTACGTTTTTTTATTTTATTTTAAATGAGTTAACATAAGTTTTAACCTATTTATTTAATAGGTTAGGTCGGAAACTACATAAATAGGTCAACCCAATGACAACCGATTTATCTAAAAGGTTGGGTTGGGTTGAAAATATCAACCCATTTAAATAAACATGATGGGTTGGGTTGAAATCTTCAACCCAATTAATAAATGGGTTGAACCCGAACCCAACCCAAGTCGACCCATTAAATTTTTCTTCCATTTAGGTATCATAGACCGAGAGGGAGATTTTCATTCATTGTAACACCCATAAAATTCAAGCCAATTTAAAACATTTTATTTCATTCAAAACCGTTAAATTAATACAACTTGTTTTCAAAATAGTTTAAAACATCAGAGTATCCCCATAACCAAATCATAAAACATGAGGAGCGGTACGATCACGCCTTTGCCTTGCCACGATCTCCTAAAGTACCTGCAACAATAAACTGCAACTGTAAGCCCGAAAGCTTAGTGAGTTCCCCCAAAGTACCCATACACATAATCATACACATAAAGCAAAGAACAACATACTATGGGTCCAATCAACCATCCGGTTGGAATACCCCTGGCCCTCAACCCTCGGGTTGGAATGTCAACATGCTACGAGTCCAATCATCCTACCAGGATGGAATACTCTCGGCCCTCAACCATCAGGTTGGCATGCCCAGTCACCTACACATACAACTACATCTACTATGGGCCCAATCATCTCTCAAGATGGAATACCCCAGGCCCTCAACCATCGGGTTGGTATGCCAACGTTCTACGAGTCCAATCATCCTACCAGGATGGAATAGTCCTGGCCTACAACCATCGGGTTGGAATGCCCCACCTACTATGAGTCCAATCATCCTACCAGGATGGAATACTCCAGGCCCACAACCATCGGGTTGGAATGCCCCTACACTAACAAACATGTATACATAACAGATAGCCACAAAACATTCTACCGAAACAACATACTAGGGCCCTATCATCCTACCGGGATGGAATACCCTCTAATACTACTCAAACATGTACATACCACAGGTAATCTCCTACCAGCATACATACGGCAAGACCCACTACAGGTTTATAAGCATAACCACATCCCAACTACCAGGATGCTGATCTAACAGAACTTGTCATCACTTAACCTCCCTATCCACCAGGATACTAAACTAACAAAGCATACCATCATATCATCATCCTAACTACCAGGATACTAACAAAGCATATCATCACATAATCATAACAAGCTCTAAACAACAATTTAAAGGGCCGGCCTTGGTGCCTTAGACCCTTGAGTACAGTGAGGATAACTCACCTTGCAAATGAAGAACCGAACCACGAAGACACAATCCCGAAGCACTGCTCCAAACTCCAACACCTGATGCCATCAATGGACCATTGACATAAATATCCAAATTACCATAACACCCATGAAGGTCAAACGAGTCAAAGTCAAAGTCCTGGCCAAAGTCAACCTTCCTGATTGACTCTACTCGCCGATTCAACCCGTCGACTCGCCGAGTTCTCAAACTCAGAAAACTCTTATAGCACGACTCAACTCGCCGAGTCACCCCAAGACTCGTCGAGTCCAACGATCTCAGAGTCCCATCCTGTCAAACTCACTGAGTCGCCAACCGACTCACTAATCCGAGACTTTAACCAAAAGAGATTGGGGTTCTGCGACCTGACTCGCCGAGTCCAAGAACAGACTCGCCGAGTCCACGACAATCTTCAACAGACTCGCTGAGTTGTTCTTCAAACTCGTCGGGCCCAAACTCATCATCATATGACTCGCCGAATCCACCCATGCGACTCGCCGAGTCTCTTCAGTCCTACATCCATACAGAGGCTTTTCAAGCCATGCAGGGGCTTCAAACTGTAGATCCATCCTTCTTGGGCCTAACCCCCACATAAAGTGGCAAACTTTACATGAAACCAATGAGTTAAAGGTCCAAATCACTCTAGGGCTAGGTTTTAAAACAAAGGGGCTTCACCAACAACTCAATGATTGATGCTTTACGACTTTCTGGACCAACACAAGTCTAGATCTGAAGTAGCAACCTCAGATCTAAACTCCAAACCCGAAATGGATCTCAATCATACCAAAATGGCCCCAAATCTCCTTCAAGAATAGATCTAGAAGCAACAAAGGAAAGGTAACAGCTTATTACCTCCAAGATGTGCCCAAACTGCAGTACATTCTGGATCTACACCACTTTCTTGATGCAAGCCCTTTTGATCTTCAAGTTTCTTCCACTAGAACACCTTTCAAAGCTTTAATCTCCCTCCAATGGCCTTACACACACGAGCTAGGGTTTTCTGTCTCTCAATGGCAATAAGGAGGCTGAGAGAAGGACATAAAGTCATTTAAATAGGGTGCAAACCCTAAGATTAGGGTTTTCTCTTCCCAGCACCAACTCGTCGAGTCCAGCCGCCGACTCGACGAGTTGGTCACTTTACTCGCGACCAGAAGCCGCTCCGACTCGACGAGTAATCGTACCTACTCGTCGAGTAGCTTCCTCAATTTACACTTTAAGCCCTTATATCTTATTTCTGAAATTTAGGATGTTACAACTCTCCCCCACTTAAATTAGGCTTCGTCCTTGAAGCCTACTGCAGTACACGATTCTTGGATAACACCCCCACGCTACAGACTCCGATTTCTCAATCAACTCAGGTCCTTCCAGACGCTACTACCGTACCCCTTCTAAATTAACTTCTTCTCGTGCAATATCCTGCCAATACTCCAAGCCGACCATCGGCCTTTTCTACTAAATGTCAAAAACACATCAACCCAATTATCACCTGATGATACTGCCACCTTCCGGCCATGAACACACCTTCGCGACTTGCGAACGTTTAGATACCACAATAATTCACTGTGTCCCCTCACCGTGCTAGACTATCCTTCTCCTTCCAAGATTGGCGATACCTCAGGTAACTCGCAATATTGGGAGTCATACTGACTCCTCCCTGGATCTATTCCCTTTCCGCGCTAACAAGCTGATACCTCCTTCAGCTTCTAACAACTCCCATGAACCAGCC